AGTATTTGAAATAAAATTTTGCTGAACTAAGGGTTGTATAAAATTAGGCGGCTGCGGAAAATTAGGCGATATGGAACTAGGCATAAGAATTGGAGATAGATGAGGAGAAGCTTGAAATGATCCAGTGCATATAGGAAATGTGTCAGATTGAGAAGGAATTGAATTAGAGGATATAAAACCTTGTGGCACTTGGGGAATTCTAATCGATGGTGACGAGCGAGGTTGAACTATAAGTGGGTGTGAAAGGCAGGATGAAGAAAAGCCTTGATCATGAAGGTCACTTCTTGAAGAATTTATACGTACGATTTGATGGGTAATTTTTTGATATCCTGAACTTCCATCAGGTCCATAAGGAATGACTTTCTGTGCGTGATAGCTTTCGACACTAGGTAGCGGATATGCAGTCGGAATAGTACTGGAAACAGATTCACTGGGAACAAGTGGCTTATTTAGCGGCTGAATAAGGGGTGGATCAGTCAGCCTTTTTTTTGAAACAGATCGCTTTGGTTTAGTAGTTATCTGTTTAATAATAGGAGTGGAAGGAGAATGAGATGGGGCCGAAGCTGCTTCGCTTGCAATTAGATTCGGTGGGCCGAGCTTAGCAAAACCAGGATGCGCAACCGAGGCACAATATGGCTGTAGTATAGGTGGCGAAATTGAAGCAGGAGTATCAACTGTGTTCTCTATATTTAGCTCTCCTGACTTGTTAACGAGCATGACCATCGAGAGGGAATCATTTGATATCCGCTTGTTCGATTTGCTTGATGAAACCGTTTCTTTTTTTTTAGGCTTTGAATCAACACTAAAGGCATTAATAATGGCGCAAGCGTTTAGACTGGCTACTCGCTTGCCTAAATGATGCGGCGGCTCCTTATAGTCATCCCCAAGTTCGCGCTTTAATCGTTTTTCACTTAGTTGTTTTTTAGATTGCGTCTTTTTCGTATCATAAATAAGATTCTTCTTTTTAATGTAGTGTTCCGGTAATTTTGAGCATTTTGAATTAGAAATAGAATCCTCAATGAGGATTTCTTTACGAATAATGAGACTATTTTTAAACGAAGAGGTAATGCTAGCAATGCGTTTACTTCCATTAGAAAAGGGAATTTTTGAGCTATTCTTAGTAGGAAGAGATTTCGGCTTGATTATATCTCCTTTGGATGAATTCGATTCATTCTTTATAGAAGAATTTAAGCTGTGTCCGCAACGCCGATTACGAAACAATTGCCTGTCAAACGAGGAATGAGATGTATATTGTTCTTTAGAAGTCTCAGAGCCAGCCGCAAACGTCCTTAGAGGGCCAAAGCGAGCGTACAAATCATAGAATAAACGACCATCCTGGCTATAAGTCGGGACACACGAACGTCGACCACCGATATCATGTTTTTCTTTGTATGATTTTTGCCTGCTCGATTTCTTAATTAAAAAGTTACGAGAAGAAGCGCGGTCCAGGTTTTTCTTGAAAGGATACGTTTTAACTTTGAAAGGAGTTTGATTATGTATATTTGCTCTCGATTGATCTTTGGAGGTGTCTGAAGGTCTTGGCTTAGCCATTCTCGTTCCAGTGTAATCAGCCTTGATAGAGGGTTAACATAAAAACATTATTTTTGAAATACATATCCAGAGGGAACATTACAGAGGAGAAAAAC